TCTTCCCCCTCCCCCTGCCCCACTGCCCCTCTTCCCTCCCCTCTTTCCCCTTCTCCCTGCCCCATTACCCCTTCTCCCCTCCCCTCCCCCCACTCAGGCTCCCTTTGGCTATGGTGCCTGGCTCTTGTCAACTCAGGAGAGGCAGCTGACACCCTAGCCACCTGTAGCCTCTGGAACAGCGTGGCCTGTGGGGCCAAGGTACCCAGCCAGGGCCTCCTCCGAGAGCAGTCTGCCCTGTGCTCCTATATACTCCTATACTCCAGGGCACGGGACAGCCTCTCTGACTGTCCTGACTGTCTAGCTATCACTGGGCCACTGGGCAAGCTGTGGAAGGGACGTTTCCAGAGTAAGTTATGGGGTTGCACCGGATGCTTTGGGAGCAGAGACCCTTCAGCGCCTCCTGACTCTGCCCTTTGGGAAACGCCCTTGCAGGAACAGGCTAGATGGGGTCTCTCTGGTCTGTGGGGCCTTGCCAGGCAGGGGGCCCATGACTTGGGCTGGAAGCGCCAGACGAGAGGCTGCTCATTCTCTGAGGCCCTTCAAGGGGGGAGGAGCCAGACCTGAATGGCCACCAAGCCCTTGCTGACAGCAGGAGGCAGGAAAGCGTGGGCCTGGTACCTACATTTTCCCTGAAGATGAAGGCCAGGATGGCTGCTGAGAGCTCCGCCAAGAAGATGATCAGGATGAACAGGAAGAACTGCAGGGAGAGGAGCAGATTCATGAGCCCAGAGGGCAGGCAGGGGACAGGGCGGTCACTGGCCAGTGCATCCATCCATCTGTCCTACCAGTGATGCAGTATATTCATTTTGTAAGATAAAGACACTCCACTGCTATCAGTCAGACATCTTCATAACAAACACACCAGGGATCCCTCCTTGTTTAACAGGATTGTGATCAAAATATGAAAAAAAATAAACAAATATATACCTTCCATGCAAATGGTACACCTTAGAGAGGCCCCTTGTACAGTGTGCAGCCTGAACAACCCTACGCAGCCACCCTGGAAGGAGATCGCTGATGAAACCTGTTTCAGCCCACTCTGGGTAAGCTTCCCTCCATGTGGGTTGTATGGGCTGTGAGAATCCTGAGTGCTTTGGGGATCCCCAAGTGGATTTCCCCACCCTGCCACCCCAGGGCCACCTCTCCCTGCCCCACTGCCTCTGGTTCCCATGGGAATTGGTGAGGTCACATTGACCTTCAGCCAAAATTCAAGGAACAAGACTGGAGGGAAGATGGTGTGACTACCAGATCTCAAACCCAGGGCCCAGGAGTTTGGTGTCTAACACAGTCTTTTGCTCCACTCACTGACTTTGATGTTCCCTGAATGAACCACAGTGCCTCTCATTTCGGGGACCTCACAGGCTGTGCTACCTTTGCCAGGAAGGCACCGCACTTCCTTGCCCACCAGTTCCTCATTTCTCCAGATCAGGTGAAGACTCAGCGCCTCTGCTGGTGAGGAGCCTTTCTTGACTTCCCTAAGCAGGGAGAACCCCCCCTCCTGGGCTCCCCCACATCACAGTGCCCAACAGAGGTGCGTGCATGGCATTAGCACAGGGGCTGTCCCTCAGTGCGCTGCCTGCCCAGATGCCTGGGTCAACACAGGTGTTAGCACAGGACTCTTAGATGGATGAACAAGGCCGAGGCAGAACCCTCACCATGAAGGTCCTATGACCTGCTGCATCACCGGCCCAGGACATTACGTGGGTTCCTTTGGGCCAAGAGCAGTCAACAGAAGAAACTGGCTTTGCCTTCATTACTCAGCACAGCTGGTGCCCTTGACAAAGTCCGTGCTCACCTTACCTGGAAACCACCAACGGAGGACTTTAACCCTGACACACACACAGACTGGTTCTTCCATGCCCTCCCAGGCACCGAGGCAGCAGCCAGACCTGCTCTCTGGGGTCCCAGTCCTCAGGACTGCCTGCCTGCCCCCGATGTGCCAGGCTGGAAGGAGGCAAAGGGTGCTGGGCTTCAAGTCAGGACACCTCAGAGCCCGCCTTGTCTGTCCTTGTGTATCATGGGACAGTCACTCCAACCAACCCCTTCTAGCCTCAGTTTTCTTGCCAGCAAAATGGGAATGTCAAGACCCACTTCCGGGAGTGCCTCGTGGGGAATCACGACACATGTGAAAGCATTTCCTCTGTTGGAAATGAGCCCACGCAGAGCTTGGTGGTGGGCTCTCAGATGCAGAAGGGGAGTGAATACAGGCCACGGGCAGCCTCCTCTGTGACCTCCGAGCTCCTGGCGACGACCGGCCTCCTCGTAGACGCTCTGCGGGCTGCTGACAATACCTTCACACGTCTCTCGCCTGGAATGTGCCTCTTTGATCAGAGGAAGATTCCTGTCACTTTATCCCCACCCCAGGGAGACCTCAGTCCAATTCCTGCCCCGACTTTTCAGCGCCCACAGCAGCTGCCTTCTAGAGGTCCCAGGGCTTCTCCAAACTGCGTGGGCGGGGTACCACCTGAGTAAGGGCCTTGGGAGGGGCGCAGAATCTGCCCATTCAGCACATGCGCAGAAAGCATCTCCGCAGCCTGGCAGGCAGGTTTTCATTTTTTAAATCTCCACACCTAAGGAGAGCTGCTTGCTTCCACAGAGCTGCCAGCCCGCGGTGGGGATGTGTCCACCCTCAGCCCTGCCTTTTGCTGGCCAGCCTCTATCCCCAGCCGCGTCACATCTGCTTCAGCCCTCGGAGGTAGTGTGGGCTCCTGAGCCCCTGAGGTCTCCCCGGGCTTCAGCTCCTTCATCACAGGCTTCTGCTGTCACAGGGGATGGCTGGGCGCTGGGTGCCGGTCCCATAGTCTCTTTTTTGTGTGGTTCCCCCCTTTTCGAAGTTGAGGAAGCTGAAGCGGGAGAAGGGAAATGGCTACTCCACAGGTGCAGAGCTCTTCGGAGGTATTTATTTGCCAATACCTAGTACAGTGAGAACCTGTACTCAGGTTTTATTTGCAGAGAGAACCTGCTCCTCCTGGCCCAGCTGGCTTTTCAGAGCGCCGGGCTGCGTCACCTCCCTGATACAGGGCGAGGCTCGGGAACTGCTCTGTTACTGTATTCTGAGCCCAGGAGTCTGTCCCCATGGGTCAGCGGGCCCGGGCCACCTGGCTGGGGTCTGCCAGTGGCCTGCCTGACACATCTGGATGAGGGACACCAGGCCAGATGCTCCTGTGCTTCCTGAAGATGGGGTGACCTCGGGCTGAGGCCAGGGAGCAGAGTTCCCCAACCAGAGCAGAATGTGATGAGGGCAGGGCTGGGGGAGCCTCCCGTGCCCCAGGTCACAGCGCCCATGGTCCATCCTGCCACTCCTACAATTCTCATTTCCAGGAGGCTGGGAGGCTCTGGGCTCAGTGGCCGCTGAGTGATTCATTTTCTGCCTCTGCAGGCTCACCTCCCCTGTGACAGTGACGGAGGCCTCTGGCAGGGGTCCTGGCACTTCCATTTGGCTGGTGATGGATGGTCATCCGCTTCCATTACACGGGGCCTCTACGAGGAGCCCCTCCCTGCCCTCTGCCCTCTCATTGGAGCCACTGGCAGGCTCCCAGACTGGCAAGGAGCAGCCTCAGCAATGGTCTCCGTCCACGGCGATAAGCTGGAGCTGGCACGCACACCAGCCTCGGCCTGGACAGTCGTAAATAATGGACGAAGCAGATCGCGAGCCTCGTGCACTCAGTGTGCCTGTCACTGTGGGACGTGTGTGTGCCATCCAGGATGACTGAGCATGGCTTCATGAGATAATGCAGGTGCCATGCTTCCCACAAGACTGGCAGGACAGGACAGCCGCTCAGATGGTGACTCAGCCCAGAGGAAGCATCCCACCAACAGATCCAGGCAAAGCATGCATTTGCCACTGATTGTGAACGCAACACTATGGCTGGGAAGGAAGTATTAGTGTCCTCATTTTATATACCAGGAATCTAAGGTTCAGAGTGGTTAAGGAACCAGCCCCAGGTCACACAGCCAGGAAGCGGCCGAGCAGGAGTTTGAGCCTGGGCTTTTCTGACTTTGCAGTCCATGCTGTTAGCCACATCTCTGACACCACCTCCTCTCTGTTCCTTGGCTCTGGGGCTGCTTATTGCGCACCTGCTCTGTGCCAGGCACTGTACTAGGTATTGGCAAATAAATATGTACAAGGCAGACTCAGTCCCCATCTTCATGGAGTTTCCACTGAGCTGAAGCATCAATGAAATGATGATGAGGAGATGAGCCTGGTGGATGGGTCTTCTCTCCTCTAAGAGGTCCTGGACTGACAGATTCAACCTGGGGAGCTGTGGACTGGAGGAAGTGGGCCTCCCCAAGCACAGGGCCTGGGCAGGACTTGAGTATACGGGAGCGTGAATCCTGTGAATCAGAGTGCAAGGCCACTGTGCCCGCAGCAGGCACAAAGCCACTTGCGCCAGCTCGCCCTTCTCCAGCATGAAAATGTCCTCCTGCTTAAGATGGTTCACCAGTGTTCAAGTCCTCTGGGGAATTCCCCTGGACCAGCCATGGCGGTTCACATCCCATTTGCCTGAGGACACATCTGTCTGCCAGTCCTCATCCTCTAATTTGCATTGCTTTCCTCGGGATAGAAAATTAGCAAAGGGGAGGAAAGTGCCACGTCGGCTGCTTGGGAGGATTTCCAGGCTTTTCTAACCCATCTGCTTATAGGCAATGTCTGCTCACAGTTCCCATTTCTAATAAATATTTACCAATTTTACACACTGCATGTACAATTCAGCTCATTTATCTTTTTTGAACATACTCATCTCTTTTTGCTGTTCTTTTTTTTCCAGTTTAGCTTGCCTTCATTGTAAAATATTTTTAAAATTAGGATTTTTATATAAGCTGTCTTTAAAAAAATCCTTCAAATACTCAAAGGTAAGCAAATGGGAAATGGGAGGCTGAAATTGTCCTATTGCATGTGAGTGCTATGATGCTGATCAACACAAATATTCGGGAAATTGATCTTTAGACAGACAAATTGATCATTAGGTGGTCTGGTCATTAGACTGATCGTCCCCAGGTCCTGTGGGACTTCAGTCTCAGAGCAGAGGGAAGGAGACACTCAGCCCCATGTCAAGGCCTCCTTGCTCTGTGAACCTTTAAGCCAGGTTTCTTAGGGTGACTAAAGTCATTCTTTGGCTCCGCTTAAGACAAGCCTCTCTCCCTTCCGACAGGCTGAGAAGGCAGCGAAAGGCTTCTAGAAGGATCCCAGAAGGTGCCAGGGTTGAGACTCCATGCCCTCTTTGGTTGGAACCACCACACAGTTAGGTCCAGGTTCAGCCAGGAAGGGAGAAGTGGTTTTTCTTATTTTTTAGGGCACAAACCTTTCTGAAAACCTTCCAGAAACTTTGGGGCCTTTCTCTGGAAACACTCACAGAACCCCCCTAACCCCCATGCACACAACACCCACACACGTGTAACACCCACACATGTGTAATACCCACGCACATACAACACCCACGCAGGTGTAACACCCACACATGCACAACACCCATGCACATACAACACCCACGCACATATAACACCCACGCAGGCATAACACCCACGCACATACAACACCCACGCAGGTGTAACACCCACACATGCACAACACCCATGCACGCACAACACCCACGCACGCACAACACCCACGCACGCACAACACCCACACATGCACAACACACACACATGTGTAACACCCATGCACATACAACACCCATGCACATGTGCATGTGCACAAAGCAGTGTGCGCAGGTACACATAAGCACACACGATGGAACAACATACACACACATACAACACACATGCACATACACATGAGTATGTACACGATCCATGTACACACAATATACATACACAGGCCCGGACCTAAAATTTTGCATTTAAATTTAGGTAAATCTTGAACTGAGTCCATTCCAGGGGCCTCTAGACAGCCCTGGTCTGGAAGCCAGAAGACCCTGATCCAAGCATCCTCTGACTGTGACCCACAGTGTGACTTCAGGCTTGTGTGGGCAGGGCCTCAGAGAGAGGAAGCTGAGCAAGGGAAGTGGAGAGAGAGACAGGGAAATGGGGGAGGGAGAGATCAGGACGGGGACAAGGAAAGGGCGTAGGAGTAAACACAGAGGTCAAGAGAAAGACAAGGACAAGTGTATGGTGCCGCATGTAATCCCAACATTTTGGGAGGCTGAGACAGGCGGATTACTTGAGCCCAGGAGTTCAAGATCAGCCTGAGCAACATGGCAAAACCCTGTCTCTACAAAAATACAAAAATTAGCCGGGTGTGGTGGTGCATGCCTGTGGTCCCAGCTACTCAGGGGGCTGACGTGGGAGGATCACTTGAGCCTAGAAGGTTGAGGCTGCAGTGAGCCGAGATCACACTGCTGCACTCCAGCCTTGGCCACAGACCAAGAGCCCGTCTGAAAAAAAAGAAAGAAAGAGAGAGAGAAAGAGAGAGAGAGAGAGAGAGAAAGAAAAAGAAAGAAAGAAAGGGAAAGAAAGAAGGAAAGAAAAGAAAAGAAAAAAGAGAAAAGAAAAGGAGGACAGAGGCAGAAGGAAGAGGGACATAGGGAGAGAAATGGGGGCAGGGAGGGGAGGGGAGGGGTCTACCATCAAGCCTTGAGGAAGGATCAGCTCTCTCGGGAGGACTGTGGACACATCTCCTGCCCCTGGGTCTCAGTCCTGCCTCCCACAGCATGGGAGGTTTGCAGGCAGCCACTTACTGGAGGAGGCAGGAGAGCCAGAGCCGCCCCAGCCTGCTCCCAGCCAAGAACACCAGCCTGGCTTCCTGTCTTGGCTTCAAAGACGAGCCCATTAACAATGAATGAGCCCCTGGAGGCCGAGGTGAGGAGGGGGAGAGGGAGGCTGGGTGTGTTCTGGGACCCATATTCCAGCTCCTTTTAAAGTCCCCTCCGGCTCCCCAGCCAAGACTTGGGTAAGCACCGTGACAAGCAGTAGAGAACTGTCCACCAGGGGGCGCTCACAGCATTTCTTTGTTTCTCTCCAAATGAGGTCTGCAGTGTTTGGGCTCTTGAAGGACAAATGGGCTCAAGGCTCCCTGTCACTCATTTCGCAGCTGACTTCACTTCCTCTGGATGGGGGCATCTCACTCGGACACGAATGGGGCTGTGCAGCGTGCTCTCGTCTGGGGAGGAGGCATGGTGCCAGGTCTCTCCTCCCAGCACTGCTGGTGCTGGTCTACCTACAGAACCTCGCAAGGCAGCCCTCCAGCCGACCTGCCCAGGTCTCCCTGTCATTCAGCTCCGCCCACAAGGAGCATCGGCAAGTTGACCCAGCCACATGCACACTTCTCTAAACAGGGTTTTAACTTACCCTGTAGCGAGACTGGGCTCAGCCCAGAAGTTCTCCAAGTCCAGGACCTCTTAGAGGAGCGAAGACCCATCCGCCCAGCACAGGAAAGCGGACAGAAGCCCCAAGTGCCACTGCCCAGGGGAATCCAGAAGACTAGAGAACCAGAACGCCCACTGTTTGTCTGGTTTGGCTGTGATCTAGAGCTGAGCTGGTCAGCCCCCTCTAGCAGAAGACACGGCTGCTCAGGAAGGTCGAGGAACTAGGCTGGAGCCGCACCCTTAGAGGATGGAGCAGGGAGTCCACTCCGAACAGGCCCGCCCCCTGCCCAGCTCATCCACACGGCTCGACCCCCGCCCCGTGCCTGTTTTGAGAGATGGGACCTTGGCCACTGGCACATCTCCAGCACCCAGTGTACTACATGCCCATATAGGAGCTCAAGGGCTATTTACTTAAAGAATAAGAAATCTTCAGAGGGCGTATCATACCTATTTCAGAATTGGATATCTACAAGGGGAAGGCCTCATCCACTAGCCATTTCAGGGATATTACTGAGGAGTTACATGGTAGAGTTTTTAAAAGCAAGCAAGTGGAAAACCAGCAAGGTCCTTGTCAGCGACCTCAGTTGACCGTGCCTTGGAGGAGCCTGGCTGTTCAGACCTGGACACCAAGGCCCTTTCCACCGGGGCCAGCTCATCTACTGCAGTGATGGGCCTGGTACAAAGCAGGCTTTGCAAGCTGGGGCCACCAAGGCAAACGGAAAAGGCTGGGGACCACCCCACCCCTGGAGGTGGGTTCACGTGGCTCAAACCTCATTCTGAGTTTCCTGGCATGCGGACACAGGCCAAGTGTGCCTTGAGCCAAGGGCCCCGGCTTGACTGGAGGCAGGCGGCAAAGTGAAGTGGGAGAGAGGAAGGGCGGCCCCAGGGAGAAAACAGTCCCACAGGCATGGGGAGAGGCAGCCTGAGGCGCTGCAGGGGCCCTGGCCCAGCGTCTGTTTTATCCCCTCTGCCCCCAACTCCCATGGGACTCCGGGCTAGTCGCTGAACATCTCAGGGCTTCAAGACCACTGACTCCGGAATGAGTAGGGTCGGGTCGTCTCCATGATCCCTTCTGCTGTGACAGCCCCCAGTTTGGGAAGCACTGGTCTGAATGGAAGCCAGCCAGGGCCTGGGAGTCCGCAGCCGATCCCCGACACCCCGCATTGCACCCACGGGTGGGGTGGTGACTGGGGTACTCACAAATAGCAGCAGACACTTGTTCTCACGGACGGCCCCGCAGCAGCCCAGGAAGCCGAGCAGAAAGAGCAGGCCCCCCATGGCCAGGAGGATGTAGGCGCCCGTGAGGAGCAGGGGGTTGGCAGCCACGATCTCCCGGAAGCCGGTGGGGTCCACCATGACCCAGATGCCGATGGCCAGCAGGCAGGCCCCGCCCAGCTGCTCCAGCCAGTGGAGGAGTGGGGAGGAGAAACAGCCAGAAAGGGAGGTTAGGCACTCCTGACCCAGCACTCCCCGAGCCAGCCCCAGGGTCAGAGGCGTCAAGCACTAGGTGAGCTGGGCAGGAATTCATCTGCAGTGAGAGCCGGCAGGTCCCAGCTGCGCCTTGAATTGTCGTGAATATTTCTAATTGCCGTGATCTTAAGTGCAAGACACATCCTCTACGTCCAATTTCTGACCCAGGCCCCACCCTGGGCTACTGAAAAACACACGCATCATATACAGGTTATTTTATCTTCTCCTGAAATGTCAGACCTGTGGATGAGGAGGCCATCTAGCCCAACCCTCTGATTCCACACAGAGGGGGTCAGCAACTTGCTGAAGGTCACATAGCAAGTTCATGGCAGAGTCAGGGCTCTGTCCCAGGTCCTTAAACAAAGGATCATGAACATGCCCTGAGTGAGTCCTATGCTGTGTTCGCACCACCCATGCTAGGGGCTGGGAAAACACAGACCAAGTCATCGTCACTGCATGGGACTCTCAGTGAGGTTCCAACCTGAGAGTGGGCTCCCCACTCTCCAATCAATGGCTCAAAAGCCTTCAGATTTATGTCTCCATCAACATGGGTTCTCCATGCCTTATTTATCTTTGGAAAGAGGCAGTGTAGTCTAGAGAGAGAAAGCTGTGCCATTTATTAGCTATGTGACCTAAGGCAAGTGGCATAACCTCTCTGAGCCTTTTAGCTTCCTTGTGGTCAAAGACTCAAATACTCACAGGCTAAGGCAGTCCCAGGGAAGAAAGGACAGAAGGCATTTAGCAGATTTCAATAAATATCTGTTCCATTTTTCTTTTCTTTTTTCTCAGACAGAGTTTTGCTCTGTCACCCAGGCTGGAGTGCAGTGGTGGGATCATGGCTTACTGCAGCCTTGACCTCCCGGGCTCAAGTCATCCTCCCACTTCAGCCTCCCAAGTAACTGGAACCACAGGCACGTGCCACCACGCCTGGATAATTTGTGTATTTTTCTGTAGAGACTGAGTTTTGCCATGTTGCCCAGGCTAGTCTCAAACTTGTGGGCTCAAGTGATCCACCTGCCTTGACCTCCCAAACTGTTGGGATTACAGGTGGGAGCCACGGCGCCCCACCTATTCCATTTTTCTTAGGCACGGGTAAGTATTAGAAGCAGACCTGTTGTGGGAAGAACCAAAGTTTGGCACCATGGGATTTAGGGCTGTAAAGTATCTGAAATCCCTTTGTGTGGCAGGAGGACCGGAGGCCCCCAGAGGCCTGTGTGAGGGCTGACAGTGGGGCGACAGGAAAACTGCTGGGCTTTGGCTTGGCTGAGCAGGACTGCATGCTGAAGAGAGCTGATGGCTTTGGGCAAGGGGCATTTGTAGGTGTCCTTAGGGCAGGAGTCCAGTGGCGAGGCCTGAGGGACCCAGCAGGGGAAAGAGCAGGAAAGGCCGAACTGGAGTGGCCAGCGACAGAGTTTCCGTTCCTGCCACCTGCTGTGCCGGGTCTCTCCCCGGTCTCCCAGAATGACTTCCAGGAAAACCTGCGCCTCCTTATTGCTGCTGGAGATCTTGGGATTCCACAACTGTACGCTAAACGCTTCATGGATGGCCCAGCTCCATTTCGGGTGGGAAGGGAGGGGCTGGAGGGAGGGTAAGTTTGTGCGGGGTCACCCGGCTTGGCAGGTGGTGGCCTTGGGTCTAGAATTCAAGTCTGCAAGGCTCGAGGCATTTTAGGATTATAAGGCAGGGAAGAGAAGCTAAGGGAGTTGCTGAAATGTGTATTTTTTAAAAAGACACAAAGGTATAGAGATAGAGATAGGCAGAGAGGGAAAGACGGACAAACAGAAATAGACGGTCAGTCCTGGCCGGAAAGAGGACTCCCTCTTTCAAGAGCCTGCCCTGAAGGATGCAAGTAGAGCCTGATTCACCCAGGTCTTAGATGTACCAAGATCAAGGGCTGAGGCCGGACCAGGAAAGCCTGTGGGGGCCCAAGAAGCTGGGGCCATGGCTCCACTCCTGGGAGGGGCCACAAGTCTGAGCAGAGCCTGGGGTGGGCTCAGCAGGCGGGTGGGCCACCTGAGTGTCCGGGCCTCTGTCCCTTCGTATACAGAATTCGCAGGTCAGATGGAAATGGGGCCAAGCTCTGGAGGACGGGCTACATCCCGGTCACTTTGTAAACTAATCTGACTTAATTTTCAAAGAGCCTGTTGAGGTAGGTCACTAAGAGGTGAAGATACTGAGGTTCAGAAAGGTGAACTGTTTCTCAAATCAGAAGCTGCTAAGATGTAGCACCGGGGTTTGAATGCAGGTCTTCCAGGCCCAGAGGAGTTTCTGACTAGATCCGGTGGCTGCATGGACTTGGCCCCTCCAGCTCTGAAGTCCATCTACTGCTCACGGAGACAAGGTTGGGTGGGGCTCCCTCTTGTTGCCCTCCGATCAACCCCATCCCCTCATTTCCCACTCCCCACGAGGGGTCAGATCCCAAGACAGTGGCTGGGCCAAGGTCCCCTCCACCTTTGTCAGAGGGACTGACCACCCCACGGCCTGTGTAAAATGTCTCTCCTAAGAAGGTGGGCTCTCCAGAGTGGGGTGGGCACTGCTGGGGGCTCCCTTCCCTGAAAGCCTGGCTGGCAGGTACCCCTCCCTCTAGCGCTGGCCTCTGTGCTCACCCCAGGAGCTTGGCCCAGTATGACTATCTCAAAGGAGCAGCCAGTTCTGCCCACCCAGCAGAGGTCTGGGAAGACCCAGCAATACTTACAAATATGAAGAAATTGAAAACAAACATCAGATACTTCATGCAGCTCAGACAGTCGCCTTCCATGATGTTCCACCTAAAAACACAAGGCCACCTCAGTCCTCCCGATGGGGGACCCCACCCAGGAAGAACCCCAGCCCTCCCTAGAGGGTGCCCGCTGCCAGCCCCACCCTTGCAAAGGCTGGAAAAAGATGGAGGCCGATCGTGGAGATGAGAGCACTGGAGCTGGCCCATCTGGGTTTCAGCTCTGGTTCCAGCTTTCATTCGCTGTGTGATCTTGGGCAAATTACTCCACCTCTCTGGGTGTTGCTCTCTCCAACTTTAAAGAGAAGATTAAGAAGATTATACTTCACCTAAAAGTATACCCATGGCAGCAAGTCATTGAACATGATTCCATTCAGCCAACGACGATTGAGCACCCGCGGCTTGCCAGGCATGGCCGGGGCTGGACAGAAATTCAAACATCCCCATCCCCCAGGGGAAACTGACAGCATCTGCCACCATGAGTCAGATTTCAAGGTACACAAGACATGTTTACATTCCATATTCATTATTTTCACGTTTTCTTCCTAACAGCTCTGGGGAGAGACTCGGGGCAGGGATGAGAGAGCCATGTGACAGGTGGGGAAACTGAGACTATGAATGAAAGCGACACGTCCAGTGTCCCACAGCTAGGAAGGGGCAGGGCCAGAATGCAAGCCAGTCCTGAGCTGCCAGCACTGCAGGTGCTTTGCTGGGGCCGGGGTTGTCCCTCCATGACAGGACTCAGCGCAAAGGGTTCTGGGAGTATGCATTGGGGTGTGGATGGATGTGGGGGAGATGGTGTCTGGTTACTTTCTGCAGCTCCCACTTTCTCCCACAGGACATGGCTGGACTCCATCTTCCTCCACAAGATAAGGTTGCTAAGTCTTATTCAAAGGGTTTCTGGGAGGCTTATTATTATTAATATTAATAATAGTAAAATGTGTAGCAAAACATCACATTAGACCCCATAAACATATAAAATCATTATTCATCAATTTATAACAAAGTTGGGGAAATAGTAATAATCGTAGCCACTGTTTGGGGATCGAGCGCTGTGTCCAGGGCTTTGCACATATTATCTCATTTAATCCTTGCAACCACCAAGGAGGTATGTACTCTGATTACACAAATCCTTCCATCAGCCCAGCCCTCAGAGAGGTTAAGGGATTTGTCCAATGCCACACAGCTTGTAGAAAGCAGTGACAAAGCCCATGGCACATAATGGGTCTCAGCAACTCTGTCCCCTCCCCGCCCCAAACCACAATCCAACACTCTCCTCAGCAGCCAGGCTGGCACCCTCATATCATAAGGAACAGACGGAGCAGAGAGTGCCTGGCTCTCACCTGCCCGGCCGCCCCACCCCTCTCCTAATGGGTGATGACAGCACCACCCCAGGCTGCATTTTGGTCTGAGCTAGAGTTTTTCTGTAGGTGCATTTGAATCCATGGAAAGAGGAGCACAGACAGAGCCAGCTGGTGGGGAGGGGACCGGGAAAGGTTCCTGGTCTCAGGAGTGGCGCCTCGCATCCCTCCTCTCATTGTTTCTGCCAAGGTGCCAGGTGTCTGTCCACCAGCTGACCTTGGCCAGGCAGACATGGCTAAGGCGCCTGGAGCCCGTGAGGAAGGCCTGCCAGGCACATTGGCTTTGGATTCAGCACTGGCCCTGGGGCCAGAGGACCGTCCTCCTCCCTAAAGGGACGCCTCCTACTGCTGCTCCACTGGCCCTTATTGCAACTTGGAAAAGTGCTGAGCAGGGGAAGAACAGGTGGGGCCACTCAGCACCAAAGCCGGGACGGGAAGACACTCAGAGCCCACCTGGGACATCCTCCTTCTTACCAGGAGGGAGAAACTGAGGCACCAAGTTAGCTGGTGAGGAACGCAAGGCCATCCAAAGGGAAAAATCTTAGGGTGAACCTGACTCAGGGACTCCAGGCTCCACGCCTTTGTCCTTCCAACAGTGCCCCAAGGGCTTCTCTTCAATTGTGCTGGGGGAAGGAAAAATCAGGTTTTTCCTGTGGTCACCCACCCAAGTCTCCACCCCTACAAATAATACTATTTATTGAGCATTTACTATGTGCTGGCTCTGTCCTAATACTTTACATTTACTAACTCATAACAACCCATGAGATTAGTACTCTTATTATCCTCATTTTCTAGAGGTGGAAACTGGGTCAGATGGAGGTGAGGTGACTTGTCTGAGGTCATAGCTAGTGAGTGGTGAAGCCAAAACTGGAACCCAGGCAGTGTGATGGGGCGTTTTTCTTTACTTCAGTGAGCATGGCCTGAATTCATGACATGCCATCTGCCTTTGGAGGTAGAATTGGATGACACCATCCTCTATCCAGGGGTCTCTGAAACTTCTCCAGCCGCAGCCCTGCTCCTCGCCTTCTCTCCCATCCAGACACAGCCACCGCCTCTGGGCTGAGACTGGCGTCCCTACCTCCCCTTCAGTCAAGTGGTTCCCTGCTGCCAGAAGGATCTTTCCACAAAGCACATGTCGCCACAGCACTTTCTTGCTGAAAACCCGACAGCTACAGGAGACCAAGCTGCCTCCTCCAGACCACAGAACCTCAAGGCTCCCCATGGCCACCTCTTGTTACTCCTGCCCTCACTTTCCAATCACCGCCCTCAAAGCAGAGTCCCCAGAGGTATCTCCCTGAGGCTTGCTTGCTGCCTCTGCTCATGCTGATCCCTTCTCTTTCGATTGCCCTTCCACCTACTTCCAGTCTCACTTAATTCTTATTCATCCTTTAAGACTCGTCACAGGCATCACCTCTTCCAGGAAGCCTTCTCGATTGCCCCCTCCTGTCCCCATCGAGCCAAGCTCAGGGCCTTCCCTAGTATAATATTCCATGGCCTCTGCTGATGTCCACTGCTCCCCCACCAAAATATATAACATTACATCACCAACCAGTGTTCCTGGTGAATCCCAGAGGAGAGAACTGTGGCTGTGCCCTCCTGGGGCACAGTAGGGACTGTCCATGGTTCCACACAGGGAGTGTTCATTCCGCAGGGTGTGCGGGAGGCCTGGTGCTGGGCTAAGGCATGCTTCCGGGCATTCATAGCCTCCTTGCCTTCAACAGCTAGAAAGTGGAGCCACAAGGATTCCAACCCACAGCCACGATCTCTTGTGCTCCCTTTCCTTTCTCTGTCGTGCCCTCTCCTGGGTGAGGACAGCGAGGACAGGGCCCTCTGAATGCCCTGCTTGCTCGCCCTTCTCTCCAGATCTTCCTGAGGCCAGAAAGCCTAGAGCTGCATGGGATGGGAGGCACCAGGAGAACCTATCCCTTCCTTTGCTCCAGCCCCCACCCTCCCAGAGGCCAGCGGGCAGGGTCTGCAGCAGGATAGAGGGACCCTCTACCCTCACAGGTCCTCAGTGGGGATCCATAGGAATGGCCGTCCTGTCTGGCCAGTATCTCTTCTGGTTGGCTCATGCCAGTGAATCCTGGTTGTTCAGCATCTTGGCCATCATCCCTGACTGTGGGGCCTTTACCCTTCCTTCATCACCAAGGCCAGGCTCTCTTCCTGCAGAACATCCTCCAGGATACTGTTTCCAGCCTGCCAGCCACATCCCTCCTATCATCCCTGACTTTCTAGAAGGAGTATCTCACCTGCATCTAACCAGCATGGTCCTAAGCTTGGACTCTGAAGTCAGACACACCTGGGTTTGAATCCCAGCCCATCACCTTTTCTATCTCTGTGTCTTTGGGCAAGTGACTTGGCCTCTTGGAACCTCCGTTTCTTCATCTATAAAATGTCCGGTGTAAAGGGCTCCCCGCTGTCCTGCACAGAGCAGGGTGGACAGCTCCTACCACATCCACACCTAACTCTGCCTTCATAGGTTACTTATAGGCCTGCTGTTCCCTTAGATCAGAAACCCAGGACAGTGCCTTGCACCCCAGAGCCTTTCCCTTCTGACCCATCTCTCCTTTCAGCTCTTGGCTGACTTCAGCTCCATGCATCTCAGATGCCCTGTGCCCTTTGGGAAGGGAAAAGAGGACCGAACATTTATTGAGCACTGACTCATGGCTAGTCACGTGCCACCTCCGCAGAACTGACTACTTTTAATCTTTCCAGAAAGTCCATAAAGTGGGACGTACTATGCCCACTTTACAGATGAGGACGCTGAGGCTCAGAGAGGTCAAGTAACCTGCCCAGTATCACACAGCGTATATGAACAGACTGGGCTTCACCACTCACCCAACTCCAGATCCTGTGCTCTACCTGATCCAGGAGCAGCTGTTCAAGCAGAGAGTTAGGTACAAGAGGCACTTGCCTAGGAGTCTGGAGCCCTGGCTCCTGCTCTCTAAGTCACTGCTGTGTGACCTTGGGCAAATCACTTTCTCTCTCTGGCCTCAGCGTCTTCATGTGTCAAATGGCAGAGTAGGAATCTGATGGCCTGACTGCTTCTTCTATCAGGCCATGATGGATCAACGGCCTTTGGAGGCAGAGCAGCCTCCAAAGCAAGAGCAGCAAGAGGCTGAGTGGTCCTGTGTGGGGGGCCAGGCTCTACCGCCCCTCCCTCTGCCCACCCAGGCAGAGCTTCTCTCCAGGGTAGGATCCAGCTTCAGCCAGCTCTGGCTCTTTAGCAATTAAGGAGTGTAATAAACACGGCAGCTCATAAACGGGCTACCTGTATTTATTGCTTACCACATTCATTGTAGATGACATCTCATAGCCCCAGCTCACGGAGCACTGGGCTCCAGACAAATGCAATCAAAGGAGACGTGTCTCCTGGGAAGGGCCTCCCAGGACCTCAAAGGTGAGTCAGGTAGCAAAATGGATGATGTGAGCCCCGGGGGCTGGCGGAGAATATGGAGGCCAGGTTCCAGTTTCAGAGCAGAGTGGATGAGTAAAAAGAGGGTGTTGGTGCCCAAGACGGGACGGTGTCCTGCCTCTGCCAGGCATAGCTGCTGGGGCAAGTTACCTAACTGCATACAACTGAATTCCTTCTCTGTAAAGTCACGACACACATAATGCCTTCCTCATGATGCATGGAAAATACAGAGCGCAGGGCTTGGCGCATGGTAGCTAATAACAGTAACCACGGGCA